TTCAATTACAAGGACCAGTGCAGTTAAAGCTGAGAGAATACCCACAAGGCACTAAGAACCCGTGTCACCAAAGTGCTCACCCAATCCAATTGATTCAATACACAGATTCAATACACAGATTCAAAATTCAAAAATCAAAAATCAATGCAGATTCAATTCACAGATTAAATCAAATCTGATACACTGATTCAATACACAGATTCAAAAATCAAAAATCAATGCAGATTCAATTCACAGATTAAATCAAATCCAATACATAGATTCAATTCAAAGATCAAAAATTAAATCAAAAAATTCAATGCAGATTCAAAAATTAAATCCAATTTCAATTTCAATACATAGACAGATTTAAATCAAAAAATCTGTTGCTACAAATTTAAAAATTAACAAAAAATAGATTGGTTCAATACACAGACACATACATTAAACAAAAAAATAGATCTGATATGTTGTAAAACACACAAAAAAATATGTTGCTTACAAAAAAACACATACAAAAAATCTGTTTCAATACACAGACACATAAATTCAACACATTTTAATTTTAATTTTAATAACAGATTCATCACAGATTGAATTCAATACAGATTCATCACAGATTTAATTCATTCCAAAAACACAGATCTGTTGCAACAAACAAAAAATAAATAAATAAATAAACATAGATAGATATATGAACTGATACTCCAAACACAGTGTCATGACCCGAACCCGCCCCTATGGGTTAAGGCCATAACCGGCCAGTAATCACGAGATTACCTACGGGCTCAAATCAAATAATACAAAACTCATCAGAGTAAAGGGGCCAAACGGAAGCAAAATTAAAACTTTGTCCATAGAGCCGTGCTTATATGCACATCATAACATTCCACATTTACATATGTTAATAACTCACAACAGAAAGTATAGTAGCTTAAGGTTTTGTACAGACAGGATCATTCAAATCTAAGTCAGCCAAACAAAACTATACACAGACGTATACCAAATTCCTCGCCGACATGACGAAATACACAGAATGGCAAAAGGGCGAAGACGTGTCTCGTGCATGAGACGCAAAGGTTGACTCTTCAAAACTTTGGTTGTTCCATACAGACTTCACTGAGGCTGGGTCTGGACCTCTCTTGGCTCACCTACAACCACATGAATGAGCGTGAGCGAAAGCCCAGTGAATAATATCAAATAAAGAATATACATTGGAACCATATACCTCAAACGGCCTTGGGTCCAGTTTATATTTCTAACTAATACACACATACATAGACATATGTAAGTTAAGTAACTGCGGTTCCAATACATCATACGGCCTCGGGCCCAATTCATTCGTATCATTCAGGTCAAACTAGCCTTTAGCCCATTCACACTTTCATGTCAAACTGTTATTCGTGTCAAGCTATCATTCGTGTCAAACTGTTATTCGTGTCAAACTATCATTCGTGTCAAACTAGGATTCGTGTCAAACTGTTATTTGCGTCAAACTATCATTTGTGTCAAACTGTTATTCATGTCAAACTATCATTCGTGTCAAACTGTTATTCGTGTCAAACAATCATTCGTGTCAAATTGTTATTCGTGTCAAACTAGCATTCGTGTCAAACTGCTATTCGCGTCAAACTATCATTCGTGTCAAACTGTTATTCGTGTCAAACTAGCCTTTGGCCCATTCATTTATTCATGTCGAAACGGCCTCTGGCCTATTCATTCATGTCAAAACGGCCTCTGGCCCATCCATTCATTCTTGTCAAAACGGCCTCTGGCCCATTCTTTCATTCTCGTCAAAACAGCCTTTAGCCCATTCATTTGGTATAGCAAACATTGTCCACCAATCGAATCAATGAATCTTATAAAACTTACATGGATGTAAGCAATTGGACAATAACATATTTCAGATATCTTTGTTAAGATATTACTCACGGTGATCGGCTAATTGATTTGCCTTGGAGTTTGACCCTACACATCACATAACACATATAGGTCACAACCGATTCAATCCGTTCTTAATTCACATATTCCTCTTTAAGCTTCATTCTTATCTCTTTAACTCATTTATAATGCTCAATGAATGCCTAAGAGTGTTTGCAAACGAAAGAGAACAAAAAACGGAACACAGAATGCATTTTCAAAATTTCAGAAAACAGGGTCCCCGCTCGAGCGTGGACTTCCCCACTCGAGCGGACCCATGAGGTCTGCAAAAGTCCTGGATGTATCGAATTTACTCTCGATCGCAAACTCTGGCGCTCGAGCGGAAAGCCTCTCTACATGGCTCCCCGCTCAAGCGTGAACTTTCCCGCTCGAGCGGACACCATGTTTGCAGAAAATATTGGGAACACGAATTTCATGCTCGAGCGGCGGTTTCCCCGCTCGAGCGGAGATCAAAATTTTGGAAAATCCAAAACATGTTCTTGAGCTTCAATTTGATGTTCAAAGGTGCCAAATGCATGATTTTGGCTCAAACTTCACATATACATATTCTAACATGGTATAAACACCAACTTACAACACAATGAAACTCAATTTCACAATTTAATCACATACATGTCTCAAATTAACTCAAACTCATCACCAACACACTAGATTCGAATATGCAAGACTCAAACTCCCGTGATTTACACTTGCATGTGAAATATACACAATATCCTCAACTTAATTGGTGAAGAGATGATCAAATACATGGTTATTAACCAAAACTCAACATGGATTACATACTTTATGCTCAAACATGGAAATGTATGGCAATTTTTTACATGCATGTGTTCTAAGACTTCAAATTCAACAAAACCAACCCAATTTCATCATAATCAATCTAACTCATGTTCTTGACCATTAATCAAACTTGAATTCACAATTTACAACATTAAACTCATTAATTCCCTTACTTAGGAGCTCAATCTTTTAAACTATAGCAAATTCTTGAGTTTAATCTTCAACTTTCCCAAACCTTGAGCCAAGATCATACAATTCTCTCCCTCTCTCTCTATAGCCGGCCCTCTCTCTTCCTTGAGTTCAAAATCAACCAAATGAAGCTAAAGAGAAAATTGAGGGTGTAGTGCTCTATTACAACCAATCCCACTAATTCCAATATAATAATAATAAAGTAATTGGGTACTAATTTATCAATTTAATCAATTTAATCTGATCCGAATCAATTTTCAATCAAATTTCACTGTAGGCTCTAAAAATTACGCTAATCACAATGGCGCAATCAATTTCGGGTTCTGTGGCCAATAAGACCTTCAATTTAAATTCCAAAGCAGGTAATCAAACAGATATTCCTACGGTGAACAGATAGAAATTCAAAATCACATATTTTCACATAATGACACACAAAATCATATCAAACACATAATCACATTCATAATAAGGACCAGTTAGCTAAATATGGAACAGGGTTATCACACACAGACAGATCAAAGATCGGGAAGAGTGAGAGAGAGAGAGAGACAGAGAGAGAGGCTTACTTACTTGTGAGGTTGATCGGTGTAGATGTAAAACCAGAGAGTGAGAGACTGTGAGATGAGAGAGTGAGGGAGGAAAACAGATCAGAGACACAAAGATCTGATATGTTGGAAAAAAAACTAAAGATCGGGCAGAGAGAGACATAGACAGAGATTGAGATTTAGAGAGGAGCTTACCTGTGAGGTGTGCGATGAGGTCGATCGGTTGATCGGTCGATTAGTCCATCTTGCGAAGAGAGAGAGAGTCGATCAGTGGGTGTAGGCTGTGGAGATGAAAATCGCGAGAGTGAGAGTGAGCGTGAGAATGAGAGACAGAATGAGATAGATAGAGTGAGAGATAAATAAGATTGATTAGGGTTTTCTTTTTTGAACGGTCAGATTTAAAGGAAAAAAAATGGGGTTTTTTTTGAACAGTTAGATTTGACCCCCCCAAAAAAAAAGTTTTATGCAGGTGGGTTGGGCGGGTGCGGGTTAAACCCGCAACCCGCCCGCAACCTGAAAATTAGATAAAATCCAAATCGCACCCTACCCTAATGTGTTTGCGAAACCTCCCACACGTGTGCGGTTCGGATCGGATAGGGCGGTTTGGCGGTTCGGATAACCCTATGCCTAGCCCTAATTAACAGGCATAATGTGGTACAACGTAGATTCAGAACACGTCAGCAACTAAATGGCACATATACTACTAAAAAAACAACCATAAGTAAATGTGCATTTTCTAGAAAAATGTAAATTTTTTGCTATAATACAAACCTTTCTTCCTAGGACATGCTAGAATGGATACAGATTGATGGAAAATTACACTCAACCAGCAATTTGTCCAGCTCAGCAGCTCTGCTTACACTTTTGACAAATATAACAACTTGATTGAAGTCCAGTGCATCAAGAAGGTCATTCAGCTTGCGGTTTTTCTCTATCTCACTTAATTTAATGTAGTGCTGACATGAGGAAAAAATTGAGAGGTAAGATAATGGTTAAGAATAAGGTAAAGACCAAAAACCAAACTTCCAAAGCAATACATGTACAAGACCATGAAGGGTCAATTTCGCCTCGTCATCAACATAAATTTCCATTGGCTGAAAGGAAAAAATGTCACAGTAAAGCATATTAGGAGCCTTCCTGAAGGTAATGGAATCCAGCACGAAATGGATGATGGATGAACATCCCTTCAATTGAGATTTCGTTCCATCTGATGTCTCCTTGTAGATATTCTAACTCACAAGAAACAAGTCCATTGTTGCTCAATATATATACTATTATGTAACCAAAAAGAGCCACAGGTAAGACATCCAGCATTAACCCCATTAAAAACCTACACTCAAGGCCTAAAGTAAACAAGAAAATAACTAGGGATGTGAACAAAAGAAAAAATAAGGTACCTAAGAATGAAGAAACTATCCCCAGACATCATACCTAAAGACCGATCTTTCTTTTGCCACTACCCATCCCCTATCACATTACATACTTAGGTAGAATATTGAATAATGGGCATAAACAAAATGCAAAACTTAAAGCATAGAACGTTGCAAGCCTGCAACCACTGCATTTCTAACTATTTATCGCCAACAGAAAGCTGACATTTATGGAAAAGGATCCTTCTAAATTCAAGTAGAACTGGTCATGGGACATTACATCTTGTATAAATTTCTTGCAAATAGGACGGATTTCCTTGCTGAGTGTTGTAGAAAACATCATAACTTGTTTGTCATGAGGAGTCATCTTGAATATCTCCTGCACATCTCTCCTCATGTCTGCAGTACATATGAAGCAAAGAAATTACAAGGTATCAGAAACCTTAAACAAATCATGTGGTAGTCGTGGTGTTTTGGGGGGGGGCTGGGGTTAAATGGGGAACATACCAAGTGACTCGAGCATCTTGTCACATTCATCAAGGATAAAATGCCTCACATTCCTCAGAGAAAGATCCTTTTCTCTAGCAAGTGCCAGTATTCTTCCAGGTGTTCCAACAACAATGTGAGGGCATTCATTCTTCAGTAGGTCCTTGTGAATTTTGATACTGACACCACCATAGAAAACAGCAACCTTGATGTCTGGCAAATAAGTGCTGAACCTCTCAAACTCATGGCAGATCTGCAGTAATGATAACCACCAAAAAGAAAGAAAACTAATAAGATAGAAATTGGATTGTCTATGCATACATATATGTCTGTGTGAGTTGTTTGAGGAAGAGAGAGTAATAGATAAGGGTTTAAGCCCTAAGATTTAGATATATGCCTGGTAAGCTAATTCCCTTGTATGACATAGAACAAGGGCAGCAACTTGACCTGCAACAGGCTCAATTTGCTGCAATGTTGACAGAACAAAAACAGCAGTTTTCCCCATCCCAGATTTCGCTTGACATATGACATCCATACCCAATATTGCTTGAGGGATACACTCATGTTGCACTGATGAAGAGCCAAAGAAAATCGGAGGGAAGGAACCCTCAGTTTTAATTGAAAGCTTTACCAAACCATTTTACTTCTTCAAAATCAAGAGTATGATAATAGTTATTTACCTGAGAAATGTAAAACCAAAATTGTTGAGGTTGCAAGAAGCTAATCGTCAAAAAATAAAAAATAAATATTGGAAGATGAAAGAAAGGAGAAAAAAAATAGGCAGCTACCCAGAACATGATTTTAAGACAATATTAAGTATAATGTGTCGACATATTCAACACCAGCAAATAACAACAATAATAATCACTATCTATTTAAAAATAAGCCATAATATCTAAAACTTACCAAAGTGAAACTAAGTAATAGGAGATCCATGACAACCACAACCAGAAAGATATATATATATATATATATATAGAGAGAGAGAGAGAGAGTTCACAGAAGTAATTTTCAAAAAGTACAAATCTTATGCGTTTCAATTACAGATGCTCATCTTTCTTTAATCTAAATTCTACAAAAGCCTAAGAAGACAGCTAGACATCAACAGATGGATGAACATAACATTATGACCAAAACTGAAAGAATGAAAGAAAAACAAAATTAATAGTTATTCTAAGACATAAAAAATCTATTTATGAATTTGAATGACTATATGAATAAATATCTTGCCTTCAGATGGATGCTCAAATCCAGAGTCCACAATAGCCCGCAGAAGCTCTGGCTTCAAAAGAAAATCTCTGAATTCGGAGCTGTGAATTCCGACATAGCCCCTACAAAAAATAAATAAATAGGAGAATGAATCAGAAATTTAGAATATATGATAACATTTATCCAGACTGAAACATCACACAATAAGATTTATAAAGATTGGAACATCACTGGAGAAAGGCGCAGACTTGACAATTTATACCAGAGCAAAGCATCTACAAAAAAACAACTTAAAAGAAAAATGCAATTTTCTTGTGACAAACTGTGACAATCTTTTCGAAAATGAAAAACCAAAAAAAAAAAA